TCCTCAACCCCAGAACACACCAAAAGGATCCAGACCGTGCCAGGACAAGAAATGCAAAACCTGCCCCCACATCTCCACCACCCCCACTATTACTACACCCCACAACAGAGCCATCAGCATCCCTGGATCTTACAGCTGCACCTCCAGAAATGTAATATAGCTCATCCAATGCACCAAATGCCCTGATGGAAAATACGTAGGAGAGACCAAACAACAACTGCGCACCAGAATGAACGCACACCGGAAATCTATCCAAGACAGAAATACCCAATTACCGGTGGGGGCACATTTCTCACAAGAAAACCACTCTTCTCCAATCTCGCAGTCCTGATCCTCAAAGGAAACCTACAAAACACTTCCCAGAGACAAGCCTCTGAACTCCACTTCATCAACCTCCTGGATACTGAAAATCATGGACTAAATATAGACATTGGATTTATGACACATTATACCTGCCTGACATCTGACTCCCCAGGTATCTCTCCACTTTCATCCCCCTTCTCTCTCTCCCCCTCCCCCACCCCCCCGGTCTCTCACCCATTGACTCCTCAATCTACATTTTCACTGACTACCTGTCTTGTATGCATACCAGCCCAGCCCCTGGCTTCTTTACTTTTCATTCCATGCAGAAAGAGCACACACCAACTGCTGACACTTCCTTAGCCTGATGAAGGGTTTTTGAACTCGAAAGCTTGCTTAATAACTATTCTCCGACCATTTGGGTTGGTCTAATAAAAGATATCAGATTCACCCAAGGAACCTTGTCTGCCTATGTCCTTAGACCAACACGGCTACAACCTACACCTCTGAAATAATACTTTGTTTCAAACAAGTTGCCTACTATCACTGCTTTACCAACTAGTCAGATCTCTCAGAGAGAATTGTGTGTCTGGAGCTAAACTCATCTGGACCTGACAAGGTAAACAAGAAGGTGCTTTATTTTGGAGATCCAGCCTCAGGCAAGGATGAATCAAGGTGCACCCTGAGAAAAGTACAGGCATAGACTTGCCCTCAGACTGAGAGAGATCATCTGAACAGATTTCCCTTTCATTGTAAAGTAGGGGATATAGGAGCTGGCTATGTTAACAGAAGACTCTCCTATGTCAGGGCAACCTAGCTGTTTTTTGGCTCTTTCATAACACCAGACGTGCACAGTGGAAAATCTTGCCTTGTAATTTATAGTAGTCCTGGCCCCACCCAAGGCTGAATACCTCTTCCAGGAATGGGTGAATGCCTTGATGAATAAAAGATAAAAAAACCCTTCCATGCAGACTTGTTCTTACCCACAAGCTTGTCTAAACACTTCAGCTGCTGAGGGTGTGATGTAGTGTTTCTCTTGCTTGTGTCTGTAATATGTTTTTCCTTACAGATGCCATATTTACAGACACTTTCTCCTGCACATCTTTTCCTGAGAGATTTCTCAACTGAATGCTCTTTTTCTTTAGTACCTGAAGAGTCCTACGTGTTCTGAGTCTAGTTTGCAAATTCAAAAAATGTATCTGAGTCATTACTTTCTGTGACTGGCTATTTCATGTGTGTCACATGTGACCATCTAAGACGCTCTTATCACGTGTCATGAGAGGAGCCAATGGTTGCTGAACCAATCACTATTTAATAAGGTCAATCATATCCATCAGGGTTGCATTGAAACATTGAAAGCAACCCAAATTAGTGCTAATACAGTACAACGATCAAAAGCCTTCAGACTCCTAGAAACTGCAAAGCCCTCCAAAAACATCTCAATAAGAAACTCTCAATCTTAGGATTGAAAATGATAACACTTGTGTTGAGGAAGATTGGCAAGCTCTAAAAGAAACCATCCATGAGGCTTGGATGGAATCAGTTTGCTTTGCCATCCAATGCCAACAGGACTGGTTTGAGGAAAATAATGCTGGGATCAAAGCCCTTCTCAATTGGAAAAGAAAAGCTTTCTGTGACTGGCAAAACTGTCCCAGTCAGAAGCAGGGAACTTTTCAACAGCTTGAAGTCGAAGCCGAGAAAGATTTGAGAAATCAAAAATAAATGGTGGGAAGGGAAGGTAAAAGAAATCCAACAATTTGTTAACAATCTTGACATGCAGAGCTTCTTTGGTTCAATTGAGGCTTTGTACAGACCAAATCTGTGCAGACTTATCCCACTTAGATCTGAAGATTGCAGTACACTCCTCAAAGACAGCGAGTCCATCAAAAACTGCTGGAAGGAGCACTAGCGAAAGGTCCTGAACTAAGAATCTATGGTGACTGATGAATGTGGATCCTGGTTTTCTCTGTTTAAAAATTGCAAATTCTCTGATAAAAATCAAATTAGCAAATTCTGATTTAAAAACCCAAACTCTGCATTTTTCCACGATTAAAATGAAATGCTGTGCTCTCTCTCACTCTAGGTATCAATTGAACACAATTTTTTATTGAAATATTTTCAATTTTAAAGCAATATGGAAGCCTACCAGTGCCCCAATCATTATAATAAAATAAATTCTAAATACCTATGTATTTTGATGTTTGATTTTGTTTTGGTTTTTTATCATGGAAAATCAGAGCTCCCACTGCCACCTTTGCTCAGTAGGACACAGGACCAGCTGCAGCTGTCCCCCAACTGCTTTGTGGTGCTGAGCAACCCTGATATGCCAGTGTCTGCCTCTGCCCATGCTGTTACCCCTCATTCCTAAGCCACAGCTCCCCTTGCCCCAGTCCTGCCAGTGCCCCTGTAACCTCCCATGCCTCTCCCTTGTACGTTGTGGGTAGGGATGCCTCTTGAACCTTGCTGTGGCTTCTCGGGACAGACATTCTGGTCACCAAGCGACTTTGGGTTGGTTCCCCAGGGGTCTCGCCTGCCACATCTTTGATGATTAATTGGTTTGAATCAGGAGGAGGATGTTTGGTCCTGCCCCCCTGAAGCCTTCCCTTGGTCACTTCATCTGCTCCCTTTTACATGGGGCTCTGCCTCCCCTACACCCTGCCTACTGCCAATCATAATGTTACCACTCGCGTCATCGAGGGTGATGTTCCGGATGGTCTTCAACACTCAAGTTCATAGGGTCTGATGGCCACAGTAAATCGGTGATGTTCCTTCCCCGAGCACCTTCTGCAGACCCCTTTTTCCTGTCTAGGCATCGTCTGTCCTTGGCACCATCTTATTCCCTGTTGCATTGTCCCTTTCTTGGATGGGGTCCTTACTGCCTGTACCCGCCGGGCCTCGTACATCTTACCTCGGGCTTCCTTGATCTGAGTGCTTGCCGGTACTCGCCTTGCCGTCGCAGGTGCCCCGGGGAGGCCTCCCCCCGCGCCCCACCCTGCCCCTTCTCACCTGCCACGACTTTGAATCTTTTAGTGGGTGGGGCTTCGCGTAGCGCGGTTGCCCTCGTCAGTCACCTGCTTCTTAGATGTCTTCTGTGAGGCTCCTCCTCCCCTGCACCTAGCCCTTTACCCAGCCCGGCGGATCCTGGGTGTTTCCGTGGTTGACCATATGCTCCCCAAATACTTAAACAATGAGCTCACCTCTTGCCCGAACTTCCTGCCTCCACCACCTCAGCCCCTTCCAATACAGGGAAACACAAAACGCCTTCCACAACTCAAATGAAAAACTTAATGAGCCTCAAGAGAGGCATGACCCTGCCCCTATTGGGCTTCCTTATGGAACTGATAGCCTCTCTATCCCTTTGCTTGTAGACAGAGCCACCTACACGTGGCCCGGTTCTGTGGCCCCTCTCTGCCTATCCTGGTTTCCCGCAGCTCCTTCTCCAGTATCCCACCGGCGTGACCCACTCTCTAGGTCCCCTGTGCGCAGTGTCCCTCTCTCTGGGTCTCTGCAGCACCGCCGCCCTCTCTCCGGGTCTTTTCCGAGCTGCAACCCTCTCTCCGGGTCTTCCCTGAGCTGCATCCCTCTCTCCGGGTCTTCCCCGAGCTGCAGTCCTCTCTCTGGGTCTTCCCCGAGCTGCAGCCCTCTCTCCGGGTCTTCCCTGAGCTGCAGTCCTCTCTCCGGGTCTTCCCCGAGCTGCAGCCCTCTCTCCGGGTCTTCTTCAGCCCATTGACCTCTCTGTGCCCCTGAGGCTCTTACCGCTTCCTCTCCCGGCTCGCCTATAGCTGTCGTGCTGGCCTCGGGTGCTGGCTCGCCCTCGGGTTCCTTCGCTCCCCCGTGGTCGGTGTGGGCAGTCACCTCTGGCGTGCCGCGTCTCCATCTGACTCCACTGGCCAGGCTCACTCTCGGCAGCCACATGCACACCCCGTTCCTTCTCGCTGCCGGCCCTTTTATTTCCGTCGGCCGGCGATTGGGAGTGACGTCATCCACCAGCCGCAGGTAACTTAGGGTGTGACCCACGGCCCGCACGAGCTTCTCCTGCCATCCTTGCTCCTCCTCCCGTCCTGCGGTGAGCAAGTTTCCCTTTTTTACTTTCCTTCCTTCCATTCCGCCCCCAGCTCCTGGCCCTGGGGCTCCCCTCGTGGACTCGGGCGTCTCCCCGGTTTTTCTCCCCCTGTGACACTGCCCATTGGTGGTGCCCATTTTAAGGTGATGCTGGGTCCCACCAGACCTCAGTCTTCAGTAGTGCCAATCAGTGCCCACTCTGGCACCATGGGTGGCTCCCCCGGCTCACGCTGGCTGTGGATCCCCGAGGCTTCCCCCTTCTGGGGTGCTGACCAGGTCCCCTCCCTAGAACTGTGGGTGTCCTCCTGTCCCTCTGGACCAGCTGGGGGTTTCTTTTCTGGTTCCCCCCCACCCAGCTGCTCTTCTGCCAGGCCTTTTATCTTGGCCCTGGGCAGCTGGCCAGCCAATCGGCCCTTGCAGGCACATAAAAAACGTGCTCACGCTGATGTGGGAGCTGTCCCTGGCTCCTTCTGGCTCATCTGATTTTTTTCTCTTTGAACTTCTTCCTGCGTTCGTCTCCCGGCGCGATGTCCCTCCGCCTCCCAGCTTCAGCAGGTAAGTCTTTTCCACAGCCCCTCACTCCCAACCCACAGTCCCCCACCCCTCTTGGTGTGCCTCACCCCCAACCTGCAGCCCCCATCCTTGCCAGTGCCCCCCACTCCCAACCCACAGCCCCCCATCCCTGCTGGTGCCCCTCACTCCTGACCTACAGCCCCCTGGCCATGCCAGTGCCCCTCACTCCTGACCCACAGTGTCTCATCCTCCATGATGCCCCTCACTCCCAAGCCACAGCTCTCTGCCAGTGTTGGGACCCAGAGGCCTTCAGGCCTGGGTTTGACCTTTGTGCTTAGCTCAAGCTGCATGCTTAGCTTGAATTGTGCTTGAGACATGCATTCAGTGAAAGGAGCACATGGAAAAATACTGCCCCTGACTTGAAACAAATTGGTAAGTTGGTTAACTAAATTGAATAACTATAACCTGGGCAAAAGAAGAACAGGCAGAGCAAAACATACCCCAAACTAAGAATGAAAAGGTTACCTAAGAATAGAAAATTCCAGCTAAAGGTAACCATATTTGGCAAACAGAAGCAAGATGATTAATCTGCATTAGGAGGAAGGCTCAAGCTAATTTTATGTATTAAGAACTGCAAGCTCTATGGTATATGAAAAGAGGAGGGAGTGCACCTTTGGAACAGCCCTGAAGAAAGCCTGAAGAGATCCCGTCACTGATCCAAGACCCTGTCTTGACATCAGATGTGGGAACCAGGAGCCCCAGGCAAGGCTTCACAGCCTGATGAACCAGAGAATTTGTGTTTCCAACATTATGGGGTCATGAGCATCTCCTTTGGCTAGCTACAAACCTCAAGTTTTTAACTGCTATTGCTGCTTCAATTCTAATTAGAATTGTATCGTTAGGGTTCAATACACTTACTTTTAGTTTAGGACAACTGTGTCTCAGTCTTTTTGCCTGATAGAAGAACCATTATAGCATCATAGGGCCACACCAGGACAGGGCCCCCAGCTGCCCCCACCATGCCCAACCCCATGCAGGTTACAGGATGGTAGTCTGTAGGGACCAGTGCACCTCATGTGGAACCAGAGGCAATAGCTGGGTCACTACATGCTGCCCCATGATGCCAGCTGAGGTTGGGGCTGCAGTGCAGCAGGGAGGACCAGCACTGCAGCAGCATGAAGCACAACATGGCAGAAGGGTGAGGGACTCCAGGCCCTGTCCTGCCTTGGCTAGAGTGCAGCAGCTGCAGCAGCCCCAACTCATGTGGGTGGCAGCAGAGCGAGTCTGGCCCTGCTGTGGGCTGAAGGGAGGAGGAGGGGAGGCCTGTGGCACCCCCTACCCTAGGCTGGGGCTCCCATGCTGCTCCATATCCCTTCCACAGACCCCTGCCACACACACATGCCCCACACACCCCCTCCCACAGCCCCCCAGATAGTCCCCAAGTTTCTTTTAAAAGAGAAAATCTGTGTTTTTCTCCTTCAAATGAGAAAATCCACATTTTACCGTGTTTTTCCACAACAAATGGAAAAACCGGATCCCTGCTGATGAACCCATCGAATCAATTCCACAGCATCCAGTAAGGGAAACATTTCCCAGTCCACCAACCGCTGAAGAAGTCCAAAAGGTGATTAGAGAGATGAAGAACAATGAAGCATCTGACCCTGATGGCATACCAGCTGAGCTCTTCAAAGTTGGTGGGGAAACTATGACCAACAAGCTCCACACACTGTTTCTTAAAATCTGGAACACTGAGGAAATTTCCACTGACCTAAGGAATACTAATACTGTCACCCTTTTTAAAAAGAGAGATAAGTCTGACTGGAAACTATCAAACTATCAAGGTATCACCCTCCTCTCCATACTGGGAAGATTCTTGCTCAAATTCTGCTGAACAAGCTGCTCCCTCTGGCTGAGGAAATCCTTCCCAAGTCTCAATGCGGCTTCAGACCGTCAAAAGGCAGCATGGATATGATTTTTGTGGCCCAGCAGATCCAGGAAAAATGTCAAGAACAACACCAGGAACTGTATATAGCCTTTATTAATTTGACCAAAGCCTTTGACTCTGTTAACTTTGAGGCTCTATGGAAGATCTTATCGAAGTTTGGCTGGCCAGGAAAATTTATCACTATCCTAAGACTCTTTCATGACCAGATGACTGCCTCTATCCTATGCAGTGGCTCCACTATGGAGCCCTTTGCCATTCAAGCTGGCATCAAGCAGGGCTGCATGATTGCACCAATTCTGTTTTCCATCTTTCTTGTGGTCATCAAGATGCTTATCCATGACTATCTGTCACATGTGACGGAAGTAATCCAGGCCAGGATCAAGCCCCCTGATTACTACCCCATGGCCCTAGTCCATGTGGGTACTAACGATGCGGCCAGGAGAACCCCCGATCACCTGATGGCGGACTACAGTGCTCTGGGCGGCGTGCTGAGGGAGTTCGGTGCACAGGTGGTATTCTCTTCCATCCTACCAGTGAATGGACACGGAAGACGGCATGAGAACTGCATCAGAGAGACCAACTGGAGGCTTCGGCAGTGGTGTCTCGAGGCAGGCTTCAGCTTCCTGGACAACGACCCGCACATTACAACGAGGGACATGCTCAGTTGGGATGGGCTTCACCTGT